AAATAGTTAGGAGACGCACGTAACGCTCTGTCATTCTACAGCTCGCAGTGCGGAATGAACGGAATCATGTCACTGTTTTCTTGGATTTCTAGTGAAAATACAGAATGCTTCTAATGCCTTCCGCGCGGAAATTTCCGTCTCTTGAGCCAGCAGCGTGCACCTTATTTCATATTCATTCCCATTATGCTCCTCAACTTTATGCCTTCCCAGAGGTATTGTTAACTTTTGGGACGTATATCGCCTGAATTTTGGAATGTACGTCGCCTCTGTCGGTTCGTCGCCTCTGTCGCTTGTTACTGAAGGAGGCGCCAATGAGGTCTGTCCATAAAATCAGATGAACTATCGTAACGGGTTCGTTCTTTTCAAGATCATCCGTCGTACTGTTCACCTAGGAGTTTCACGAAAAACCACTATCTATCGAGCCGAAGATCGTCGAGAGTTACCTAAAAAATCGTTCGGTGGATGCAGTCAACTATCTAGTCTAGCGATCATTATCAAATCGAATGCTGTATTCGGACCACCCATTCATTATCTCACGCTTCAGTGGAGGCGCCGACGTCCCTGGCTTTTCCTTGATGAATTACAAAAGTAGGGATCTGTCATTTGCACCTATGGAGGAACTTCGGGTGCTTATATCAATACTCTTTCGCTAAGATCATCACTTCTGATTAGAACTCCTCTGATTTGCTCGCAGCATACCTAAGGCTAAGCTTAAGTCTGAGCCAAACATTAGTATTCGCTCACGCGCAGCTCTGGTGACCTGACTTGTGGGAAACTGAACGTCTCGAACTTTGGTGGTTTCTTTCGTTTGATTGCGCGCGTGGTCACTTTGTATGCCATAGGTACTTTGATCAAAAAAGATTCCTTCTTGCGATGGTGATGTGTACAGTGACGTCAATTGAAGTTGGGCACCTACTTCTACCCAACCAAAATCGAGACGTTTGGTGAATTTGAACGAATGTGGCATGATGGCATTTTGTATCCTAATGGTTTATACAATGACGCCGCTTCTAAACTGTGCGGCCGTTCTCTCAGAGCCTGGCTTGGTTTCAGGCTGCTCCTAAAAAGGTGTTCTGCCACTTGCGTAGCGTGCATGTCGTACATGCCTTCCTTTTTACGCAGTAGTTTCGTGCTGTGGTTTATTAATGGATGGTACCCTGTAATTTCGCGTTGAATGCGTGTTAAAGATTGCTGGCGTGCAATTCTTCAGGTTTCTGTACTTCATTTTTCATCCCAGGACCAGGTTTTTGGAATTCGTTCGATGACGGATATAATACTCCTTTTGCTTGAGACAGAAAATCGCATCGAGTCGAATACTTGCATACCTATTTGTATATATGAGACCAGCCAATTGGTCTAAGCATAAAATCTAGGAAGATCTCCCACGTTTTCAGCTATTTCAACTCCAATTTCTTCATCTTAGCTAACAGCTCCTTACTTCACTATTTTGGGGGCAACTCTTCTTTCCTTATCATCTCTGGTAATCTCTGGATGAGCTAAGTTTCTTACTGGCTGCTCAAAAGAGATTTCGCGTCGATATCGTTAATGATTTCCTTGAAAGCGTGTTCTCCTGTTCTGTACAGCTATTCATAAATACAGTGTGTAGCATGCGCTAGCTTCTCGCTTTAGCCCTTGCTACAATGTAGTTCTTGATCTTCCTGCTATACACCTCCGATAATCCAATGCGCACTTCTTGGGAGCCTCTGCCATCTTGTACCTCTTCATTTAGATAACCTGTTTGGTTTTCAAATGTAACGCACATATATCGGGAGGTGGTCTCGTTCCTACATGTCATTGCCATCACGTGTCCGTCCTTTTGTGATGTTACACCGAAGCGTCACTTGCCGATTGTAAGCGCACCGGAACTCCCATAGAAAAGCGTCACGTAGGAGAAGCGCCCAGTGACGCCGGCGTTTCTTCGAATCGCCTCTCCACACGGGCAGATCCATGTTACTCGTGACGGTCAAATTGACCGAGGCGGCCCACAAGCAGCAGAATCGAAATTACAAGCACATATTTGAGAATTGGATGTGCATGAGCTGTGTGGGATGAAGCTCCTTTTACGCCATTCTACAGTTTTTGGAAGCTGTTCACTCTCGAAACACAAAAATGGCGCACTCACCCTGTGACGCTTGATCGTCAATGAAGTATTGTTCTGAGCAGGAGTCACAATTTCCTCCCAAAAATTACCTACGTGAAACTTTCTTGAAACTCACTGTCTTGTAGCCACCTTTCATCAAGTGTATGAGACAAATAGAGCTTGAATATGTGCTAAGGATATTCATGCAATCTGAAGAGCATACTTTCCTCAAATGTAAATTTTGTATCAACGGAATTTTTGGGCGATATTTTAAGTCCTTAGGAGTGAAGCTAATCGATTTCTGAGATGATCTGTGGAATCATACGAGATGTATGAACTTCACATTTTACTGATAAAAATTCCCCAGTTTATAAGGAAGGGTATCGTTTTATCAGGACCGTCAGCTAATTTCACCTTTTCGAATTAAATTGAACTGAAGCCAATTATATAAATAACAAAAATCAGCACGGGAGCTTTGTTGAAACTTTTATTTTTTTACGAAAATTTATTGGAAAATTTTTTCTACTCCATTCGTACTCTCGTCCGTTTTTTGAATTCCCTGGGGAATCCCCGTATGTTTCTATTACATATTTTAACATTCTTGTGCTGAAAAATCGGATTGCAGCAGTCAGCTTTTTCGGTCCGTTTTCGGGAGCCGCTTCTTTAGCCGGGGCAATTTGTTATGTATTGTACTGTGGGTGTTAGCGGATGGAAGGAATTTTGGAGTGATTCTCATTGTTGTAAGAAATATTAATTTACGATTTTTTTCTAGTAACAAATAAAAAAATACATGTTTTTCAACTTGAAAACTTATAAATTCACTTTTCTTCTGTGGATGGCATGGATTATATACATACTTCACCTTTTCTCTGCGACCTTGTATAATTCCGCACCTATCATTCAGAAGGGGAAAGGTGATTTATGAGAAGTGGTCGCAATGTGTAGAAGTCTACTCTCATATTCCGCTTACAGCGCTGGAATGGGCAAAGCTTCGGCCTGTTGGCTATAGTTGGCTGCTGTCCTCAGTGAGGGTGCGCTAAGGCTAAGTCGCCAAAGCGGATTTGCTCATGAAAGCCCTCAGCACGCCCTCCGATCAAGCCGTCAAGCTCATCCAATGGGCCTCACTATTTGCTCAGTAAAGAATTTGTTTCGTCTTCCTCCTAGGAGTACTATCGTCGTCGGAATAATTTTGTTGCCTTTCCTCCTATGGCTGCTGTAGCATTTTGCGCGGCTGGACGAAGAAGCTATCGGGGGCCCTGAGTCAGCCGTCTGAAAGCAACGGCACCACAGCAGAACACAGGCGCCACTGCTATACATCGCGATACAATTGTTGAACTCTTCGCATTTCTCCGTTCCCTTTTTCGCGATTTCGATCCAAGAAAGCGAAATCTTCAAGGTCTTCCCCCCTTTCAGCCGAGCCATTCCAATTCATCATCGCTTTTTTCTTCGAAGTTTCTCTCCTCACCAGTCCTATTATCTTCAGAATAATGTCATTTCAATTTCTATCGATCACTCAAAGTCCAGGTTGAGGTCGGTCCACCATTTCGATCGCTCCTCCTTTAGCACACACCGATTCTCTCCAGATTTCTAACCAACCTCTTAGCTCCCACCAATTGAACTAGCCAGCATAACTTCAATATGGACTTCCTCAGTTCTCATTGAATAACTGATAAGTGTAAGTAGCTGTAGTAGATTTTCTACTGTAAGCAACTAATATAAAATAATTGTTAGAGCTTAGGGTGAATTGGTCTATTCTTAGATTTTTCTCATAATGATTTCAAAAAAGGGCGGAAGTGGTGTAGTGGCAAGTGGCACGCTTACCACGCGAGCGGTCCGGGGATCAAATCCTGGGTCGTGAGTCGCCCGGGCCAACCAAGCCTTCCATCCCTCCGGGGTCGGTTAACCAGACTTGTCTGGGAGGATAAAAACACTGACTTGTACATCGGCTGGCCCCCGCAAGTCATTGTATAGGCCACATCGCATTCAAACGCCACTACGAATGTACAAATGGAAGTAGAATGCGTGCCGCATCCCAAAAAGGGATTGATCAACGGCAAATGCTTTATCCTTTATCCTTTAATTTCAAAACATCGGAGATATGCAGTACGCGAGGATTGCGCTACCAAAATATCTTAAGAGGCGGAGACTTCTCCGTTTAGAACCCTTTATATACCCAGTTAGAGAACATTGTAGCATGTAACCCTGAT